TTTTGGGTGTATCCTATTCAGCCCTGTCAACTTGAAAGCATCCAGCTTCTCCAAGTAATCCCTAACCTGTTTTCCACTACTCCATGCGACTTATTTCCTTTGCTATCGTGATGCCAATTGCACTTGTCACTTGATAGATAACTTTACTCATGCAGACTGAAGTAAAAAAAAAAAAAAAAAGAAAAAGAAAAAAGCATTACATACTTCTGCCTCCTCTGCATCATCTGTTACTAGGTTGCCTTCTGCTTCAGTAATGGACCTATACTTTCCTTGATATTACTCCACTTCTGACGTACAATTAGAATCTGTTTTTATTGCCTTTTACTTCCCTTGTTTGTTGTCTTAAATTGCATCTTGGATTTCCTTATTTTATCCCTGCCTGCTCTTTGTAATACTCTCATACAGTTATGAGTAACTTGGTCAAGTTTTCACTTTTAATAGGATTCTTTTTTTGAGCTGCAACTAACTGAAGAATTCACTATTTAGCCAGATCAGCCTCCTGATCTACTTCCTATTCTTGCTTTGCATCAGGATAGCTTGCTCCTGTACCCTTAATAAGGCCTCCTTAAAGTACATCCATCTGTCCTGGACTCCTTTCCCCCTCAGACTCTACTCGCAGGGGATCCTGTCCACTAGGGTTTTGTGAAATTTCACCGGCCGATTCGTTCCGACACTGTTTCAACCAATTTCGAGGTCAAAACAGCAAAATCAGAATGAAACAAAGGCCATCGAAATATCCTCGAAACAAAATGAAGCTGGTTGAAACATTTTGAAAGTCTAAATGTTTCGACCATAGGCTGGGGATGAGAAGTCAGTCTAGCTGGGATGACTTCCTATCCCCAGCGTAAGACCCGGCAGGGGGTTGCCTCCCGCCCCCGGCATAATGTAGCACCGGAGGACTGGGAAGCGGCCCAGCTGGGCTGACTCCCCATCCCCAGCGAAACACGATGGAATGGAATGGAACAGCTGTTTCGACTCGAAATGAAATTCAAGACTAAACACTGTTCCATCGAACTGTTGAAACTCAAGGAGAAGTGGAACGGTGCCATTTCACACAGCCTTACTGTCCACCAGTTCCCTGACTGAGTTAAAGTCCGCTTTTCTGAAGTCTAGCATCTTTATCCTGCTGCTCTTTTCCTTTGCATCATGAACATGATCATCTGATGGCTACTGCCATCCAAGTTAACTTCCACCTTCATTCTCAACCAACTTCTTCCCCCCTGTAAGTATAAAATCATGAAGAGCTTCCCTTCTACCTAGCCTCTCCACCACCTGTATCAATAAGTTATCACCAACACAATCTGAAAACTTGATGGATATTCTTTATATTGCTGGGTTACCCTCCCAGCAGATTTCATTGTAGAGATCCTCCATGATAACCAGGTCCTGCAATTCAGAAAGTTAGTTGTGTAAAGAAAGCCTCATCTGACCCTTTCTCCTGGCTTGGTAGTCCATAACAGACATCAAGCATGACATCACCCTTTCTGTTCTCCCCTCTAACTTTGACCCTGAGACTTTCAGCAGGCGTACCTCCCTGCATCATACTGTACCTAAGAACAAGCATGTATAGAGCAACTCCACTGCCTTGCTTCCCCTTGCCTATCCTTCCTGAGCAAGATATACCCAATCCATGGCAGTACTCTAATCATGTGAGCTATCCTGCCAAGTCTTCATTATCCCAATTGCATCATAATTCTCTAATTGTAATATGGCTTCCAAATTATTCCTGCTTCTTGCATTAGTGTATATTTTAGGTAGGTAACCAATTGCCCTAGTTTTCGCTGAGAAAAGTGTTCAGGTTTTCTCTATTGCTTCCCCCTACTTGGTTTTTATCCAGGCCTCCTGGATCTATACTTACCACTGGACTTCTGTCTCCATCCCCCAGTAAACATAATGTAAAGCTCTCCTTACTAGGTTAGTGAACCTGTATGTGAAAATGCTCTTTCCCCTCTTCATCCAATGGACCTGATACCTTCCCAGCAGTCCTACTTCCTCAAAAAACACTCCCTTGGTCAACAAAGCCATTGCCAGCAGGGGTTTACTATATTAAACCACCTGTTGATCTCTTGCCTGGTGCTTTACCTTTGTTCAGGATGGATTATAGTATCTCTTGAGCCCCCATCCCTTTCACCCTTGCACCCAGAGTCCTGTAGTCACATCTGATTTGCTCAGAATCACCTTTGGCAGTCTCATTATTGTCAACATAGATTTGCAGCATGGGGTAGTAATCAAAGTGCTGGATGAGTCTTGGCAACCTTTCCATGACACCTCTTGGCAAGTAGCAAGCCACCCAAGCCACCAGGGGAGGCTAGCAGATGGAAGCCTCTGTCCCATCCAACAGGGAGTCTTCAACCTCCACCACCCATCACGTTCTTTTGGTGGCAGTAGTTTCAGTCCTCCCAGCCTTTGAACAGCATGGCTACATGGTGTGGGCTCTTGCCCCAGTGGAGTAGGTTCATTCTCATTTGATGCCAGGGTTTTGTACCTGCTTTCTAGCTGGACAGCTGCAGGTTCAGAGGAATGCCGTTCACTGGCAGAAATGACAAGCTGCCAGCTTTCACCTTGCTGAGAGTCCAGGTCATCTTTGTCCATGAACACCTTCCCTGGTTGTACCTCTTCTATGGTGCTTGAGGTCTCTGTGCATTCAGTCAACGAAGGCCAGCTATTCACAGATGTTTCTGAGCCTAACCACCCCCTTCTGTAGCTACCTTATTCTGGTTTCTGAGAGAATCCACCAGATTACAATTCTCACCAAAACACCCTCCCACATGGTTGTCCATGGCAGGGACATGCAAGTCACAACCCTTGCAAAACCAAACCAAGGGCTGAGTGGAAGTCTCAGAAGTCAGTAGTGTCTGCTCCTCCCCCCC